AAATACTATTCCTTCATATTTTGTTTAATGAATGGGCAATAAGCAAAATAAAATAATAACTAGAACTATAAGCAAAAGGCTAACTAATACCCCCGCTCCTATTTAAACCAGAACTGTAAGCTAAAGGCTTTCTAAGACAAAGCATTGCAAAGCAATCCATAGTCTCCCACCAGTAATTATTTAAGTATATAGGTCATTGACATACTAACTGTACTAACATACATACTGATTCCAGTATACCCCTAACTTTGTTGCGGGAGTATAATTAAGTGTATTATAGTTATACTATTAAGAATACTATTAAGATTATTTTATCGTTTTTATATAATTTCATATTGCATTCTCAACCTTAAGTTGTTTTCCAGGGGAAAGATTACCTTGGCAGAATACTTTTCATGAGTAATTACTGCTGCACATAACTTGAAAACATGCGTAATATAATAAAGTGTCTTGGTATGATACATAAACAGAAAATGTATCGGTATTTACCATAATAAACATTGATAGTCAAATCTCCATGGTTATGGGAAATTAGGTGATCATGTTTGGCATGCTAAAAAAGTACCTAACCGGTTTTGATAGAAAGACAGAAAATATGTATGTTACTATATTTAGGCAAGTTTACAATGTTGGTTATATTTAAAATGTTGTGAAAATTTTGCACGTTTTTCTACTTGACAACAGTAACTTTATACACTATTCACTATCATAATTCATTTTCAAAATAACATTGGCCTGTGACATTTATCTGTCATTTTATTAGGATCCCCCCTTCACTCAACCTGGTGTTATACAAGGAGGTCCACTACGATCATTTGTATGTATCTACATATGGCAAAAGAATAAAAGAAATGAAAATGGGGGCCAAATGTTGACCACACTTTTGCTATGACATATCCAAGGGGTACAGAGAGCGAAAGTGAGTGAAACACCTGGTGTATCGATATTGAAACTATACACATTCGGTTAAGTCACCTACTGTACCTGTGTGGGGGGAGGGGAGGCTTTTGTCAGGTAAATATACACATATAAGCATCCCTAATTTCAGTTGCAAAGCTTAACCGTTCAGAGATTGGCAAAGATCAATCCAGATTGGCTGTTTATATCGTATAGCCTAAAAAGAGAAGAAAACACAAAATGTGATGACGTTGTATACCGCAATGTTTGGGGCGGTGTTTGTAATTCTAACTTGACCGGCTGAAGTTTGTCTGCCATGAAATTATAGCGCACTGCAACGTGTGCTAATTCTATCAGAAATGAAAAAATATTAATTACTGTGAACTAAAAAGTCCATACACTTAAGAAATAAAGTCGTGTCAACTGTAAATTGTGCAAATTTAATAGTTCTATTTCGAATAGGCATTAATACTAGCATGAAGTGTGACTGACAAGGGGTACCACTTCTATGGTTAAAACCTTACTTATCAGTACTTGTACTTAACGAAGGTTGGCATTGCCAAAGTTTCTCTATTCTCTTAGAAAAAAATGGCAATATTTATAACTGTTTAATTTTTCAAAAAGAATGTACTGACGAAACGGCCAGCCAAATAATTGTGTGACCGTTACCGTCTTCATATGTAAGTGTGACCGTCACCATTTTCCGATTCCTTTAATGCATTGATATAGAGATATATAAGGTGACAATACCCAAATCGGATCACCAAACCATCATTTTATTAATTCATTAAAAATTCTGAGGATGAATTATATTCATTTAGGGTTGTATCAAAGGAAGAATATCGAGGGGTGTTCTTACAAAATATTAGCAACCGGGGATCACGCAAGATATTTATAGAACCCTCTGATGTCACCAATCAGCGGTTCCAGTTTTTGTGAATGTCAGGATCCAAATCGGATCAAGGCTTGAGTTAATATATATTTTTGTCAGCATATTAACTTGTTTGATGACCTTTGGAATTTATATGAAAACAAGTATTTCTATAAGGTGAATTTATTGCTATAGTCCAAAACAGAATGCATAGTCGTTGCACGCGCCATTTTCTAAAAACGTAAACAAAACAATGACATTTGAGTTTGAATTACGTTTTCTGGTGCTGTTTTAACTTAAAACCTAATTATCTGTAGAAAAAAATTAGTGCGTGGTTATCTATTCTAGGCTATATCATTGTTATAACTTATATGTTGACACATTTATTGATTTAAAAGTATTTGTGTAAAAGGTGATCCGATTTGGGTACTGATCCGATTTGGGTACTGATCCGATTTGGCTTCTGCCTTCGTACATGACTTTTAAAACGTTTTACTTCATACTGCATCATTCAACATGTAAATACATTCTGTCTTTCCTCGCCGCATAACAAATCGCAACACTGAAGTATTTGGTAAAACTATTTGATCAATATCACTGATATATGCATGTAACGCGTCTGGAATGTTTTCTGCCTTACGGAAATGTTTCCCCTGAAGTGGAACAAATAGCGGCCACAAAGTGTGTCCGTGATCTCCGCCTGAGATGTAGGTTAATTAGCACCCCTGTGAATGCTCGTTTTATTCACTTTCATGGCATTGTTTATGGCGTCACTTTAATTGTTTACCGATTTACCATTTATGACGTCATGTAATATAACTCACTGCAAGTGACCAATTAAAATCTGTCCGCCTGAACAAAGCCCAAAACATGCACAAACCAACCACTGTCACTGCATTAGCCAAGCATGTGCACTTTAAACCAGTACGATATTGTCAATTAATTGATGACGTCATACTTTTTTAACTCGACTGGCTTGGCTTCTGAAGAGAATGTGGAGAAAAAGGGTATATTTGGAAAAAGCCGTTATTGTGTTTACCAACGTCTAGGGTTTTTGTTAAGGGTCGGTATCGTTCAGGGGAAATCGATCTGTTTAATCCCCGAAATTCCAGGAGTGACACTCTCATTTATTCTGTGCAGAAAACCTAAGTAGGCGTAACCTTTGGAATTTCGAGAATGGAGCTGTTCCCATTAGAGCGTTTGCGGAGGTTTCCAAGTTGTCCAAGTAAAACTGCCACGGTAGTCCAGTGGTATGTAGGACGATGGGCTCTTTACCGAAGGGTTGTGGGTTCGGATCACGGCACGGCACAACACTGTGTTGTATCTATGAGCAAGATACTTTACTCCGCTTGTTCCAGTCTACTTAACTGTAAATGATTACGTGGTTGGGCAGTGCTAGAACTGTTGAATGCTAGCTGTGAGCGCCGAAATGGCAGCACCGGTTGTATGCTCCCCAGGGAGCTGAGAAAGATATTGGCTGGTTGCAAAGACCATATAACTACGGATAACAATTTGTGAACCGTTTTGACCGACCTACGAACTAGGCTGTGATAAAGTGGTATAAAAGAACCTCGATTTATTATTATTATTATAATAATTTTTTTTTTTTATTTTTTTCATTTGCAAATTCTTCTTGACTTTTTGAACCCTCATTCTTTTCATAAAATATATGTATGTGTGCAAAATTTATCCTTTTTCCAAAGATGCATTAATAATAACTATGGTTAGCAATCAATGTCTTTGTATCGTGCACATGTCGTTAAGTACATCTTCTAAATAAGTTGGAATTTGAAACCAACTTTGATGTCTGTAAAACCGATGGTGACATTCTATGTCGTTCTGGAAAAGCATTCGTATGAAGGGAGACAACTGGAAGATTACTAGCATTGGTGCTTATGTCTTCACCGGTTCTTTTTGATAGGAACAACGGTTATTTTAATCTATCCCCTACATTATATTATATTATAGTACTTAAAGTAGTTTATTTAAAGTTGTGACTTCAACAGAAGTGATGCTATTAATTATTTTTTTGTTAAAAAAAGGTGAAATTGAAACGGAGCCCAGATGGCGATACTAAGAATGCATCGCCTTCATTTTATTTATTTAAGTATTCATTTAAAATTAAGGCTTAACATTTTGTACTTTTATATCCCCGATGATATTTTAATTTACTAAAAACAGCCCACATGCACTTTTTTCTAAATCTTTTCTGCAGGTTGGTAAGTACGGATTGAGAAAATAATCATGAAGCACAAGAGATAAGTGTTTATATGTGACGTTTCAATTTCTAATACTGTATGAAATGTGTCACCTTGATACGATTTCGAACGATATTTTAATAGCACAATCTTCTACTCTTGCGTACGTGCGATGACATTAAGATGAGGGGGGGGGGGGGGGGGGACACTTACCTTTTGATCAAGTAGAGTTTAAAGATAAAATCAGAACTATTGAAATTTGAATATTTAATCTTTCAAAAATCACATTAATATGTATTTATTATAAACACAATGTTCTATACGACAGACTAGAAAAATAACATAAACATCTCCTAAAATATATATCAGCAGAAATTAGTTAAGGCATACAATAAAACTACGTCTTCTATAAAGATGATATACGAAGTACATGTATTGAATAAAAAATAAAATAACCTAATCTCAAGGATATAAACAGTTACGTACCGTCACACTGACGAACGTATTCTATATATGCTGTGTAAATCATTCACTCACAAGACGCCCCAGAGAAGCATATAGAAAGTAGATTGGCGAAAAAGAGGTCACAGATTGAAGACGAAAGGTCAACCATGTCAGCATTCCTGATCCATCGATCAGACGAAAGAAATTGATGACATAATTTACTAAACTAAAAAAAAAAAAAAATCTGTATCGTAAAAATCCGAACCCTTTCTTCTATATCACAATATCTACTGTACGCATGAGCACCCTTGTATTTGTCATGACAGAATCGGAGTTCCAGAATGCGCCACCTAGCGGAAGATAAGTGTTGACTTATCCTACATAAATATGATCGTTATACTCTATGATTGGACATTTTGCACAGTCAAATTTTCGCCATTCACCGATACTATCAATTTGTACTCTGTCAATATCGCCTTTCAGAATGTGATTAATGTGTATGGGATATTCGCTGTCACGATAACTACGGATAACGAACAAGGCGAAAGCAAGACTGTGGCAAAACATGTGCTGCAGCTTTTAATTGACGATTTTGTTTTCTCTCAAATTAGTTATTTGATAACTTTCAAAGCACATTTGGTTTTCGACATTTCCATTGGTCATGTTTTGTTGCTTGTAACCAATTAGATAGGAAAATGTGAGTCTTCTATTTCATCATGATAATGTTCAAAGGATGCATAGAAAATACGAGATATCAAGAATGAAACACTTGGATTTAAAATGTGTTGTTTCTATTGCATGCAATTATTCTACATACTTTATCACAGTCCTATTTGTTGAATAGCATATCAGCATACAAATTATCTACAACACATATATCCATGACAGCGTACGCTATAAATGGAGTGATTATTTATAAACCTGGCTAGGGAAATCTAGTAGATACTCGTCAAAGTTAAAGCTACATTCCATCACGGCGCTGCATGCCAGCGGAATGACACATATTAGTCCGCGATATAGTTCTTGCTCGCGTTGTAGCACTTTCTTCTGCCAATCTTTGTGCGTCACTTGTGTAAGATCCACTTCCGGTTTGAGCAGCGCCTGCGCTTCAATGCAAGTTATACTTATCTTTTTTTTCAGTTCCCGTTGCTTTTCGTTTTCGCATGATTTGTGTATCTGTAGTAGCGGGTTACAAACACTAGCCTCGATCTCGGTAAATGTTGCCCTCAGTTGCTTGAGGGTATTTGCAAAAGCATCCAACGAAGCAGTTTTCTTGTTAGCCCCTTTAGCAACTTTGTGGTAAGTTTCAAACTCCTTTAATGTCTTAATTGACGTCACATCCGTCGGGAGTATTTGTTTCATGGTAAGGAGAAACTCCCCGAGTCTGTGTTCGACGCTGCTCTCAGTATCACTTATGTCCTGTGCGTGCTTACTTAGCTTTTCCTGGTACTTCTTCAGACGTTTCAAGACTTCGACGTCAGATGCTAAAACCACATAAAAACAAAGCATATCAATGTCATATAGATGTTGAGTTTAGAACGTAAAGATAACGCGTATATAAAGAGATAATACCGTAGGCGTAGGTAAAAAAGCGACCTGTTCCCGCACTATTAACAAACCCTTACAATGACTGATACCCAGAAATGTGGAACCACATGTACGATAAAAAAAATGGTGTAATGTAACCGAATCACGCTGGGAAAAATTCTATTTATTTCTGTCATATGAAGGTTGATGTTTTTGGGGTTTGATCATTAGTTTGCCGTTTGATTATGTTATCACTACCAGAGTTCTCGATGTGATGACGTGACATTACTTAGATTTGATCGAGATTAACATGGCGGTTGACGTCGAAGAAGCAGAAAACGCTTACACTTCCGGAACACCTGGTCTTATTCTCCTTACATTTTTCAAGGGTCTCCGTGTCAATTTATCATTGTTCATATTTTGTCTTTGTTTCATCGATTTGGAGTTCGATTTATGCTTTTGTTAACGTTGCGGTATTCTCTTCTTGTTTTCTAGACCAAACTCTTCACTCTCTTAAATCCTTACATTCCAGTGTCTAGTTTCAATATTTTATTAGCCGACTTTAAAAATAAAATATTTAGACAAAGCAAAAATTAGCTTTTAAAATGTTAGACGCTAGAGTGTAACGTTTTTCAAGACGGAGGTGTTCGGTTTACCAAATTCCATATCTAGGATTCTTTTCTTTTACTAATGTATCGAGATTTTGTTATATTTTCATATTTCTTGCTTCTTTCGTTTTTCGTTTTCATTTTGTTTAGAATCCAGTTATCATGCCAATCAATTCACAGCTTGATTTTGTATCTAGTGGGATTGGGAAACAGACAATGCGTTATTTGATAATCGGCATCATGTCGAAATTAATTTGCTATGTTCTCCGTGCAAGTATTATCTTATCCGTGTAAAGCTTCCTTTTGTTCGTAATTTGCCTTAGTTTTATCGATTTCGATATAGAGTTAGAATCATGGTATCGTTGACACATTATTTATATTCTTTCATTTTTTTTTTTTTTTTATATACAATATTATATAAACCTTCTTTTTTGGTAAGATCTTCTAACAATAAACTAATAACTGTGTTTGGAGTTAAACAAGATATGCCATATAGACATATATATGATTGTTTCTTGTAGTAATAAATCATGTTTTCTGATTGGTTCTTCAAATAATAAACCATGATTTCTGATTGGTTCTCAAAATAATTAACCTAAGTTGTCTGATTGGTTCTCAACAGATAAATCATCATGTCTGAGTGGTTCTTAAAATAATGAATAATGTTATATGATTGGTTCTTCAAACGATATACCATGTTGTCTGATTGGTTCTTAAAAAACAACATGTTGTCTGATTGGTTCTTCAAGTAAAAAACCATGTTGTCTGATTGGATCTTGAAACAATCAACCACGTTTTCTGATTGTTTTTTTTAAATGATAAATAATGTTGTCTGATTGGTTCTTCAAACAATAAATAACAATCCTGAATTTTAATTTTTAAACACGTCGGCTAGTAATGCTACTTACGGAGAGAAGTTACATTGACTTTTCCCATCTTCCTACAGAGAAGTTCGTTTTTACAATTTGTGTACTCGTCTTCCATCATTTTAATCCACAGTGTGATGTTGGTTGCTCCTAAAGATTTGAGTATAGATGGCGTCATCAACACATCCTGCAGCGCCCTCTGTAGTTTTTCATCCTTGTGAAGTTTCCAAACATTCTCCAAAGCATCTATATCATCAAAGCCCACGGCAAGTATGATTCCTGTAGTAAGTGAATCACGCAAAGGAAAATAAATTTGATAAACATACATTAACTGTTTCAAAAATATATAATATGACTAAGATCTTTGAAATGCTATTTTTTCTCGCAGACATCAAGAGTTATCTCGCGTGAGGCTATATTCAATTTATCATTATGTATTTTCTGAAATCTGGTTTCTGTGCAAGTGGAACCTTCATCTAAAGCTCGCGAATTCGGTATAGAGTAAAATACTTAAGTCTTGACTATATATATTATAAATATATAGATATCAGAACCATTGCCAGTGCGAGTATTTCTATCACCTAATCGTTTTACTGAATCGTTATCCGAATATTTCCACATGCAAAGATTTCGTCTTTATTTTAGTTCATTTATACCCTTTTCAAATCGTTCGAGGTACGCTCCCTGAAACATCTTTTTCCGGTCTAGGGCCGCCTTCATCTTGATGACGTCAGCAGTCTGGTATATGTCAAACAGTTTATCCATTAAATCCATGCGGTAATATTGTTCCGATCCGATAGCGTGGGCATTCTCAGCTTTAGCGTCGTATATCTTCACGTAGACACCTACCTCTCCTACAACAGAAAATGGATCAGCTGCAAAACCTATATCTTACAAACACCAAAGATGTACTACAATATGTGCGTGTACTTAAGAAAAACCTTATGAACCTTTAGAAAGGATTATGGAACAAGTTATTTGAACTTATATTAATCACTATTGTTGGCCTGGATGGTAGCGCATGTGGAAGGTAACTGGAGATAACCCACGTAGTCGAGCAGGTGAACGATGTCTTTTCACGTCCGATCGGGGCATCGCACTTCGGCCGCCTTGGTGAAAGGCGCATGCTCCACCCGACCACCCATATATGATATACCCAACAACAACTAAGATGTATTGCAATAGATACTAATATCTTACTTCAACCAGGAAGTGATAAATAAGCTACGTTTATTTTATAATTCTCCGTGATATGGCTTGTTATTTTTCATGTGTGATACTACAAGCTGTGCATAAGCCAAATCCCAGACCAATCCACGCGCCATATCTGCCCGGCACGCGTCATATCCGCCCGGCATGCGCCACGCCATATCCGTTTATCTCCCGGTTCAACATTTTTTTCAAAACAATTACACCTCAAACCGGAAGTGTACACACTGCATGTTCGTCTGTATTTGCTATGTTGTTCATTGTTTGTTATGCAATGTAGAATGTGATTATATTGAGCACGCGAAACATATTTTTTCTGTGTGGTTTACGTGTTATTGCTTATTATTTTGATGTTATATATAGGATCTTAAATGAGTTTCATTTCATATGAGATTTTATGAAAATTAGCCATTTCATAAAAAAAACCATATATAAATAAGCCATATCCTAAAAAAGATATTGATGATTTGCAACCAGGATGTTATTGGATAGCAACCGGGATATGTTAAAACAGCTGTAATAGTCCTATTAACCTTCCACACAAAATAGAAAGTATATGACGTACCAATGCATTGCATACATTTTTTACTTAAAGAACTAATAACATTTGAAAGACTTAGGTAAATAAACACCCACGCCTTCTCATGATTCACACTGCTCCTCGCCTCCATATGACTAACGATAGTTTACTTAGAAAAAAATCAATAGGAAATACAAAGTGTTGAACATATCGCGAGAATGAGATGATACTTTCTCATTTGTTACTAGGGAAACCTGAAATAGTCAAAATATAATCGAATATTAAAAATAAGAACTGGTGTTATTTTTCTCTATCTTTAAATTTTGATAAAACATAACATACATTTTGAGTGAAAAAAATCCCTGACAAAACATGTGATACTGGCAGGCATGAAATTTCAATCAGAGATTATCAGATTATCATACTATGACGTCATATTCAATCGGCATACATCGGTTATTTCCGGAAGGATGAAAAATAACCGGAAAATCTTGGAGCTGATGTACGTTGCATTATCTGTTTGCTGGTGCTTCGGAACCCTTTTATGTCTGTTTTGTCATTCACTACTTTGGATACTGACAAAAAGTATTAAGTTTTATGCAGTATTTTAGGAAAATCAGTCCGGAAAAAAACAGAGACGGACAGACGGACACACACCCATACCTCCACCTTCAATTTAACTCCGTTGTGAAAGCTTAAAAGATATTAATGATTTCCATACACAAATACACAAAGAAATTCAAAAATAGAAACGAACAGACAAATAACAGCAAATGAATAAACACGAGTATAAAGGAGAAAACAACACTAGCATCCGCTAAAAAAAACCAACCGAAAACACGTGCGCCAATACAGGAAGCGTTTTTTGGTCTATATGTGACGCCCATCATGATGTTGGGTATTACATGCATGTATTTATGTATTAAGAAAGTAATATGCTTTATACCTAACATATTACGTGTATTAGAAGTCTGTGACTTTCAAATCAATATCAGGATCGTCAATGTGTGATCACATTCTTTCAGGTCAATCTTGTAGGTTGTGTTAGACCACGGACTTAGATAACATCTAATTCCGTGGTTAGACTCACACATATTACATATAAATGTAAGGATTGATGTTTTCATGCATTTATATGTATATTATTCCATACGTTTTCATTTTAATTGTTGCAGCTTACCGCGAAATTCAACACTTCTTTCTTTATTTGTATAAATGAGAGCGATTTAAATATATTTTACCGTATAGAGAATGGATTTTTCATTAAACACATAGCAATATTCTCTGTGAAATCTTGTGTAACAGTGAACATTGTTCTGTCAAATCAAGCAAAGTAAGGCCGTTACAAACAAATGGCGGTTTTTTATTATATGAATTTGAAAATGGAGAGCACTGTTATGTTTTCCCACGTCGTTCTCTATCTTTATAGAGCCTATCGAGACAAAATCAAATTTATTCAGTATTCCAGAATTATCTTCAAAAAAACGTTTTTAGCAGCAATGTCTCTATTTCACTGAAGAATAGTTTCCGGCGATAAGTCTTTCTGGGTGAGGTTTCTTACTAAGTTTTTTTGACACACAGTCTCCGACAAGACATCTTTTGTACCAGTTTCCGATAAAATAAAGCCTCTGAAACCATTCTACAACAATAGATTTATTGAAGCAAAATCTCCGACAAGAACTTTATTAGGTTGAGGATGACCCACCGAAACGAGTGTATTACAATAAAATAGGTGAATTTGGCCAGTTGCCATCTTATAGCCTGTTGCCTGATCTTTTTAACAAGTAATGACATCCACACATCTACATCTTATGTACGAAAATTCTCCGACTCCTCTATGCATGTAGTAGATCTGTCTGGGACAACAAGAGGGCATGGGAAGTTCCCATGATACACCCCATATCCCACACCAACGCAAATCGAAAGAGAAAACATATCAACATGTATTGTTTTCCTTGTCAAAATTGATTTTTTATTTAACCATTAACAATTTTGTATTCAAACTTTTTCAAGTGTTTAATATATTTTGTTCTTTCACAATTTGTTTGTTTGTGTTTTCGTCCTATTAAAAGCGCTATGGTCATTTAAGGACGTGCCAGGTTTTGTTGGTGGAGGAAAGCCGGAGTACCCGGAGAAAAAACACCGACCTACGGACAATACCTGGCGACTGGCCCAAGTAAGCCTCCAACCCGCGACCCAGTGATGGAGGGCTAGTGGTACATGTAGCAGCTAGAATGCCAGACGCCTTAACCGCTTGACCAGCACGGTCCCTTCTTTCACAAGGGACTTTGTTTTAATGCAGATGTATAGATTGTTTGGTATGCTAGAAATAAATGGTTACAATTAAGTTAAAATGGCGGGTAGTAAATGACACTTTTGATAATTGTGAAATCTAAACCATTGAAATGAGAGAATAGGACTTTTTATTTTCGTGTAAAGGACAGAACAAGTCTACCTTACTAGTTCGAATAGTATAGTACTTGGTATACCTCGAGGCTTGCTGAGGGTTACACCCAAATCTCGAAACTTTACACGATTTTTTTTCTACTTTACTCTCATATTTATGAGAGTCTTATGCTATTCAAGCCTTTAGTTAGTCCTTTCTGGACCGGAAACAAATTTAGTTAGTTCCATTATCCATTTTATCAGGTGTCCATGGTGCCCACCTTCACTGGTATACAGATTGACAATACACATTGACAATTATTTCTGGACCGGATTTTTTTATTTTATTTAGTTCCATGAATCCATTTTATCTGGTGTCCATTGTGTCCACCATAACGAGTTTGCGATAGACAATACACATTGTGTCGGTAGCTTCAAGTTGATTCCAATATTTTGAAGCATTGAATATCAAATGCGTGCATTAAGGACAGCAAAAAACTCCTACAATGTTTCAAAAAATGTAAAAGTGCATGAAAACCCATGACGTGTCGATTTACAACAGCTCAGACAAAATATTATTTGACCTGGAACAAATGATTTAGACTGATTGATTTTATCACAATGTATTGTTGTACACCATTTCTACAGGTTAAGAGAAGGTTTGATACAATTGGAATAGGATACTTGCAATGCTATACAAAGTGTTCTGCAGATATTTTACACCTAGCATTATCAGCAATATTTCCTTTAATCACATAGTCGGCCTGATATCCAGTAAATTCGCCCGTGTAATATTTTTACATATGTCACTATTGTAATATACACTGGAGCGTTTTTCATTGGCTGTTCCAGTCAGAAATAGATTGTGAGGTCATAATATGGACAATGACGTAACGTCATTAATTGTGAATGGCACAACATAATGGTTGTCTCCGTTTGAGTAAGCCCTATACATTTTGGCTTTAAAACCTGTCAAAATGAAAGTTTTCTGATTTATGTGATAAAACGTATATTAAATTTGTTTTCATTTCATATGAGCTTTTATGAAACTCGTCTCGCAGTTTTAATTTTCGCCAATTCTAGCAAAAATAAAAACTCCCAAGACTCGTTTCATAAAATCTCATACGAAATGAAAACTCATTTAAGATCCTCTATGTCAGTGGTACGTTTAGACATCAACAGTCAGAAGAACTATCTATTGCCCTGTGAACGTTCAAATATCAATTTTATCACAATAGGTAGAATAAATATCATCAATATGTGACAACTTTAATAAAAGGATACTGGATATATCACATTGTAAACTGTAGATAAACTTTGTTACAGCAATCCTTCTTTCTAAACAAAACAATATTGATACTACTTTATATACATGTAGATAAAAATATATTCATAAACGTCAATCGTCTATTTTTCCTGCAGTTTTTTTAAACTAGAAGTATACTTATATGAAATAGGATATTTTGTGGAAAGCCTGACGTACGGCTCTAGTTTCGAAAAAAGAAAGAAATATTCTTACAATATACGAACATGTCGCAGCCTCCCAAAACACACAAACACAGGGGAAACCGTCCTTAAATGACCATAGCTGTTGATAGGACGTTAAACAATACTAAACCAAACCAAACCAAACCAATCTTATAATATATCTTTCAGAAACAGAGCTTATAGCTTAACTACAATTCCAGATACTTTTTCTCTACCTCTCAAAAGCAAGCTATCATGATTTTCCTAGGCTCA